CTTGAAGATTTGATTCAACTGGATGCTGGTTTTCACGGCTTGCAAGGCAGAAGGAATGTCATCACGTTCATTTCAGATGCAGAAAAAGATCCACGTGTTTTGGGTTTTACGTTGACAGATGGTGATCCAGTAGTTTTTCCAGTGAGACAAGATGACGATGAAGATGCAGACATTCCTGATGACAGCCTGGAGGTTGAAGGCCAGGAAATACCTGAAGGACAGGTCATCGTGCGCCCAAGCCCTGAGGATGAAGTCAATGTGAATGGGACCTTGCTCAGGTCTACAAGTACTCTTTCAGCGTTGAGGGCAGGATGCTGCTTTTACAATCTTTCCAGTTCTGGTTCAAAACAGAAGTGTTTTCAGCGTCTTTTAGATCACTCAAAGAAACTGGATTTGGAAATGATTTCAGCAGCTGCAAGAGAGGCACAAAGGCAACAAGGTCGTGATGCATTGGCACCAGTTTCTGCAGAGGTTCCAACAGAATATGAACAGCAGAAGCACAGGTTGACACACCTACCGTTTGCTAGCTGGTGTCCAAGCTGCTTGGCACATAGGGCCAGACCAACGCGCCACGAGAGGACAGGCGAGGCCCATGCAGGTGCTGTGCCTACAATTTCATTTGATTTCTTCTACACCAAGTCAGATGGTACAGCTGGTCAAGAGGGTGATGCACAGTCAGTGGTTGCTTTGATAGCAGTTTGCAGCCACACCAATTTCCTTGCGTGCATTCCCTTGGAACGCAAATCACAGCTGGATCATGCAAACAGAGAGCTGGTGAAATTTGTTCAGATGTTGGGCCATGGAGAAATCATAGCCCATTGTGACAATGAGCCAAGCATTTTGCAGATCAAGAACCTGTTCATCAGAACGCGACAGGCAATGGGACTCAAGACCAGGGAGACTTCAGCCATTGCATATGACAAAGGAAACAGTTTAGCTGAAAATGCGATTGGACGTGTCAGAGCTCTTGCATGCAGTTTGATGCACAATTTGCATGGCCGCATTGGCATTCAGTTGCAGACCTCATCTGCAATATGGTCTTGGGCTTTGCGTCACAGTGCTTGGTTGATTTCAAGGTTCTCAGTGATACGTGGTGCTACAGCACATGAACTTGCTTTTGGACGTGTTTTCACTGGAGAGCTGTGTGAATTTGGGGAACCAGTTTATGGGTACATTGTCCCCTTGACCAAAGCTACAGCCAAGTGGAAGCGCATGATTTTTCTTGGAAAGGCTGAAGCACAAAACAGCTATGTGCTTTTTGATGGTGAAGCCATTGTCCTTTCCAAGTCAGTCCGTCGTATCAGCACTACTTGGCGTGGCCACCTGGCATACTACGTGCATTGCAGGTGCTTCAGCTGGCAGTTCAAGTCAGGATTTGGTGCAAGGATCCTGCCGACAATGAAGAAGCCAGTACCTCGTTCTGTGAGCTTTGAAGTTCCATTGGGCCCCATTGAAGAGAACAAACTCCATGACAAAGATGCAGAAGATGTGATTGAACATGCTGAGAAACAGAAGAAACTGGAAGATGAAAACGTTGGCATGGCAGCCAATGACCCTTTGCTGCTTGTGTTGCAACAGAGATCAGAAGAGCAGAAGCAACAAGATGTGGTTCCAGTACAACAATCGTCGAGTTTGCCTATGGAGGTCCAAGCTCAAAGTGCAGCAGCTTCAGGTTCACAAGCAGTGGCAGTTGAAGTTGATGACCCAGGTCTCATGGTTCCAGTGACGCCTCCTCGAGAGTACGTGTTGGTGGACAGTCCCAGAGGTGTACCAACAACCAGGGACACAGAGCATGATGATGATCCTGCTCTTAAAAGACAGCGTGTGGAAGAGGCCAAGAAGCAGAGGATCAATCAGATGAGACTTGAGTATGAGAAGCGCCTTTCTGCAGTTCAGATCGAGTACAAGGAGTACTTCACAGCTGATGACTATGGATCTGAGTTGGATGTGGAATAGGAGTTGGAGGACGAAGATGAAGTTTGGGCTGGTGAAGAAACAGTCCAGCTCCAAGGCATTCCTGAGGAGCTTTGGAGTGATGTTGCAGTAGACAAGGCGCCTGGAGTTCCTGAAAGATGGATTGACAATCTGGCTGACAAAATTGAGATCGAGCGCTTATGCAAGATGGAGGTGCTCATCCCTGCAACAGAGTTCCATGGTGAGATCACTGGACGCCTCACAACCAAATTTGTGAGGGATTGGAGGCTCAAAGATTACTGTGAGAATGGTGTGATGCGTAAGAGATGGATGCGCCGTTCAAGATACGTGGCCAGAGAATTTGCAACGACAAAACGGCTTGACACATTCAGCCCTGCAACAGGGGCACATACCTCAAATCTACTTCCTCTGAAGTACCTCTGGATGAAGAGGGAAGCAGAAGCCATGAAGAGCAAGGAGGAGTATGACGTTGTTTTGGGGTGCTTGGATGTCAAAGATGCTTTCTTACAGGTTGAACAAAGCAAGCCGGTACTTGTGCAGTTGCAAAATCAGAACTATGTCATCAAGAAGAACTTGCCCGGCCAGAGACTGGGAGCAAAACAATGGTTCATGCACTTGAAAGCATTCTTGCAGAAAAGTATGTCGTTTGAGTTTTCCTCTGTCCAACCGTGCATGGCTCGAACTGATCAGGGTGCTATTCTCATCCATGTGGACGACATTTTGTTTGTAGGGCGCAAGTCCTTCTGGAATGTTTTCTTGGAAAAGATGGGCAATGAGTTTTCAGTGTCACATGAATGTTTGGATGGACCTGGCACTTCAATCAAGTTCTTGCGCAGGAGAATTACTGAGGTTGAAGATGGTCTCATTTTATCTCCAGGTACAACGGTGGAAAAGGTGATCAGGTTGTTTGAACAACACTTTGGTGCAGTCAGGCAGCAGAAAATCCCTTGTGACAGCTCGATTCAGTTGCCTGACAATTCTGAAAAGCTGAGTGCTCAGGACGCAAGTGCTTTCCGTTCCATAGTGGGACTTTGCCTCTACATCAGCAGAGAGCGCCCAGACCTGATGTTTGGAATCAAGGAATTAGCTTCAGTGATGTCTTCTCCAACCATTGCTTCTTTGGGTCATTTGCGTAAGCTTGTGGGGTTCATGAAGCAATTGGGTGACATTGGTGTGAGACTGCATATTCCTTTTCCTGGCAGTGGCAAATTCAGTGCAGGGTGTGACACCAACTGGATCTTGGAGAGCTACAGCGATGCTGACTGGGGCTCAAATAGAAACCACAGAAGGTCAACAAGCTGTGGTATGCACTTTTTGAACGGGTCCTTCATTTACGGTAGCAGCCGCAACCAGAAAGTTGTCTCACTATCATCCTGTGAAAGTGAATTGCATTCCATGGTGAGCTGTATGAGTGACGCAATTTTCATAAGGGCTTGCTGTGAGTTTCTTCTGGGTGAAGATGTCAAACAGGTGCAATACACTGACAGTTCAAGTGCGAGGCAACTGGCATGTCGACAAAGAGCAGGCCGCATCAGACATCTGTCAGGGAAGATTTTGTGGATCCAAGAACGTACTCAAGATGGATCTACAGATTTGCGTCAGGTGCCAACTGCTGAGAATGTGTCAGACATTGCAACAAAGGTCCTTACACGCACCAGGCTCCTCTATCTCATGCATGAAACTGGACTTGTGTATATCCCCTCATTTGAGGATGTTGGTGAGGAGGAGTCAGCAAGACACCAAGCCAAAGTTGGTGGATCAGCGCAGATTAGAAAGATAGCAAAAGCAGTTTACAGAATTTCACTGGTGATGGGCCTTGAGCCATTGGGTGCCATGGGACAGCCAGATGTTTGTCCTGACTCTGAGGGCACTTCAAGCTGGAATGGATTCTGGATTTTTGCTACGGTGTTTCTTTTCACTTGTGTGTTGACAGTGCTTGGTGTGGTTTCATGGCGTGCATGGAAACGTTTGCAACAATGGCGCAGCAGTTTGGAAAATCTCATGAGTGGCATGGAAAGAGAGATTTATCAAGTACAAGTGCAGCTTGGAGATCACTATGACTATGCTGCAATGTTGAATGACAGGTTGGATGCAGCCAATGAGTCAAACGATGCAGTGGTTGCGCGCATGGCAGTTTTTGAAGAAGAAACAACTGAGACCCTGGGTTCACTGGAAGAGGAAATCAGTTGTGTGCGTTATGGATTGATGGAATATGGTGGCTTCGTACGTTGTGAGTCATTGACAAGGGAACAAAGGGCTCACATGCTGACACAAGAGCGTGGCAACTTTGTTTTGTGGAACATGAGAACACGTGCGCAAACTACAGATCCACCTGATGATGTTGCAGGTGGTGGAAACAGTAATATTGAAGGTGCTGAAGAAGAGAGCAGCACTCACGATGAAATTGTGGAGCATGGATCCCCTAGTGCTATGAACGCTTTGTTGGATCACATGCGTGCAGATCAGAACATTGCTCTTGGTGCAGAACGTTTCAATGAAGCAAATCAAATCCAACAAGCCATCATCACACTCTTGGATGCAAGTGCAGGTGACAACCCTGAGGGTCTTTCAGAAAGTGTTATGCAGAGGATCAGAGGTGTTTTCCAAAGATTATACAGGTATCATCGCAACAGAGGGCTTGATGAGCGTGCTGACAGGTTTTTGGTGTATATCCAAGATATGCAAAGCCTGTTACAATGAATTTGAAATTTTCTCTGGAGATGCAAGTCCAAAGACAAAGTTTGGGCTTAAGCGTTGAAAACAGAGGTGAATCCTTGAGCAAGCGTCAAAGATTCAAGGAGGAGTGTGAAAATATGTGGAGCCTACTCATGGGCATGGCATAGACAAGGATGACACGCACAAATCGAAACGATAGACTTTGCAGTGTCACTTTCATGACCTCATGAACAGCATGAGAAGTCTGATATCTGTGAGGCCCATTTAGGCACAAAAGTGAGCGCATTTTCGATCGTGCCTTCGCATGAACAAACTTGTAAGCCAAGTTTCTGTTGTGTCAGCGACGCCGATGTCGGGGCCGACAATCCAACCATCGATTGTGTCGGAGGATGCGCAGGAACGACTTCCACCACTTCAACGACTTCCACCACTTCAACGACTTCAACGACGACTTCCACCACTTCGACGACTTCAACGACGACTTCAACGACGACTTCAACGACGACTTCAACCTCCCAGTCAGGAAACGATCCATCATCAGGAACAACAACGACTTCAACGACGACTTCAACCTCCCAGTCAGGAAACGATCCATCATCAGGAACAACAACCTCAACCACAACCACAACCACAACCACCAGTGGTGGTGCCAGTGGCGACCCGCATATCCATTCTTTGTATGGGGCTCACTACACTTTGTTGAGGGAAGGCGTGTTTGTGGCATGGGAGTTCAAGAAAGACTTGGAATCCAGTGGCAACCCTGAGAATGCGGTGCATTGGCAACTCTTGGCTCGCTATGGAGGCAAGAAGTTCCGAACCCTTGGAATTTTACTTTTGGACAACTCCGGTCACAAATTGGAGTTCTCTGCCCACGACTGTGCCTTGCGAGCCAAGGAGGGTGACCATCCGTGGTACATTGCCAAACCGGGCTTGCTGTTGCCAGGCACCGCCAGCAGCATTGGACTTCAGGACAGTAGGAAGAACACCACTTTGCACCGGACTTTGATCGACGCACGAATCAACTTCAACATCACCGGCTCGCATGGCTCAAGGAAGGTGGCAAGCCTTTACACCCACTGTATACGTGGTGATCATTTGAATTTCAAGATCACCATGTTGCAAAAGAAAGACCTTGTCTCGGTGGGTGGTGAAATGGGAGTTCATCCTCAGGCATTGGAGGACACAACTCACGTGAGCTTGTTGTCGCACTCCGCCTCATCAAAGCTGAGGGCCATGCGCACCAGGACAGATGAGGAGTTTAAGGCGTGCATCACAGACAACATTAGTCGAAGTGTCAGTCTTTGCCAATCTGAGTGGATCATGTGGATCTAAAATTTAAAGGAAACAGTTGAACATGATCTCAGCTGAGCCACTTTTTGAATGTCAATGATGTCCGCATATTGGAAAACTTGGAAGCCATTATTGAAATGTCATGAAAGCGACAGCCGGGACTGGGACAGCCGAAACTCAACAGGCCAAGAAGCCTTGGGTCGATTTGGGTGGCACCGCCGCTTCAGACAGATTCTTTCGCACGTCCAATCACATTTCCTTCGCAACTGGGATGCAGTATGATGCAGTTGAGGGCAAACTTCAATTAATTTCAATTGATTTGGATTGATTCCATTTTTCAGAATTTGCTCATGTTGTTGTCAAAGAAACAGATTATATCATCTTGCTATCCGAGTTGTTGTCAAAGAAACAGATGATACCATTTTGTTATCCGAGTTGTTGTCAAAGAAACAGATGATACCATTTTGTTATCCGACACTTTGCAAAGAAGAACCCCAGCTTCGCCTGCTTCCTTGGGCATTGTCTCAACAACTGAGACATTAGTGTTTTCACGTGCCGCGCCAGTGCTGGCAGATGGACAGACATGCGTACGGATACGCCTGCTTTCCACCCTACAACACTCTGATACTATGTTACTGCATGTCTTACCTCAGAACATTTGTTAGATATAGTGCGTGCAGTCCATACATCACGATATAATTATTCATCACAGCCATTACATTACTCGTACATTGTGTGACGCTACGCAACATTTCATTATCTTACACCATATTATGTGTTGCATCATCCTACATTGCGTGGCGTGACAGTAGTTTGAAATGCGCAGACAAAAACAGACACATAAGGACAGACAGTTGCAGAAACAAACAACACATACATGCCTCCTACCTCACTACCTATGTACCTTTGCTCGTAGTATTGCCCTCCGCCAATGCTGCGGTACATTACACCACGTCGCACTACCTTGCAGCGCATGGCATGACCTGCCATTTGTCTTTGTGCCGGATTGCATGATGTTTGCGCTACATTAAGAATTGTGGCAATGCTTCACACAACATTGCAGTGCATCGTATTTCCTTTTAGTAGATGCGTTGCCAGACATGACATTTTGTTTCATGATGTCGTAGACTGAACATGACATTCCTTTTTGCATCTTTTTGCAACAAAACATTTTCAAAACATGTTACCTTATACTGCTTGACATCGTATCACAGTACGTTGTGCGAGCCCTCATATCGAAAAACCTGATTGCTGGGTATTGGTAGGACCTCGGGCTGCCACAAGGGGTTGAACCTGGTGAAACGTCAGCAGTAGTTGTTGCCTTTGTTCACGCGTGGTGGGGCTCGACAGCAAAGTTCTCCTTCACGTTTCATGTTTTTTTGCTGATTGTTTTACAGAAAAGGTTGCCCACCTCATCCTTCAAAATCATCATGCATCAACTGACCTGATGCATGATAGTTGGCCGCTTTTATTCGCCCAAGAATGTGTCGGCTCGCAGGTTCTCCAAGTCGAACAAACTTCACTTCTCTTTCCCAAACCCTACCATAACCTTTTGAGCATCTCCAACTTTGCATCGTAACTTCGAAGTCTGCCTCTTCGGCTTTCTCTTTCTCTGCAGTTGAAAGACAATGTGACCATGTCAGCCGCAAGGGTGGCTGACTTGCGAAATGCTGAAATGTTTGATAGAGTACTGCTGCTGACCTTTGCTGTGCAAATTGACGTCATCAGGGTTTGTAAAAACAACAAGGAAAATGCGATGAACGTGGTACAAACATGTTGAAAGTGACACGCTGAACAAAGCAGACATGTGATGACAAGTATCAATGTTGCAACAAAAATCAGTACAAGACACAGGTGCTGCAGGAGAGGTTTGCCAGGGTTCTGCATGGCGTTATAAACGGGCATTTTGAAAAATAGTTGTTGCATGTTGTTGCAAATGAGCAGAAGACTGCGGCTAGGCAGGGTGTGTTGGTCTTCCAGAGTGTTGGAATTTGCAACGTGTTGTGTTGTGAGGCTTGTGGCGGTCTGTTTTTTGCAATTGAGAGCGAATACAATGTTGTAGGTTCCCAGGTGTCTCTCTCCCGCTACAGTACGCTCTGCGACGCATGAGCGGAGTAAGTCTAGGTGCGAGTGTCAAGGGTCGAACTCCTGGCTCACTGCAGCATCTTGGTGCCCAGGTTGAAAGGCCGAACGAGTGCGGTGATGAAGGCGAGCAAGAGGCCCGACAGATTTGTGCCAAGCATTTGCCAAATGAAGCGAGCAATCAATCCGAGGCAGGGCGGACGAAGTTCGGTGTTCAAGTCGGATAACTTTCAAAGATTGCAAAGTGTGAAGTTTTGGATGATTTTGGATGATCTTGGATGATTGGATTTGGGCCTTTTGAATAGCCATTTTTTCTTGGATGCTTAAAGGAATTCGACAAATGCTTTTTTGGTTCCTGGGCACTTGAGGTCTTTGGGGACTGCATCTTCGACGTGTGCCATGGCGGTGGAGAACTAGATGCTGAACTGCGAGCAGATCTGATGGCAGCGTAGGGTCCCGACCCGTGGACCACAGCAGTTGGACTATGAGTAGATGCTAGTCCTGGAGTACCAAATCTCCTGCATTTTGTACTTATTATTACTAAATCACCTATAGGATGATAATTCGTTCCGTTCCGCTTGAGCACTTTGATGACCTTGATTCAGTTGATTCAGTCATTTCCGTGCGCAAGCGAACCTGGCCACAACTCGAAGGTCAGTTGCGCGAAAAAAGGAACCCGACGCCTGCGATTTGGTCACGATATCTTATCGCCGGGGTGTTCCGCCAAGTTTGGAGAGGCCATCTGCACGTGACGTTTTGGCTAAGCTGCGGTGTGGGTAGGACTGTTAGCCGATCCCTCAGAACATCGTAGCTAACAGATGTCATTCTTCCCGCATTGGGCTTCAAAATATCAGACCCAGCAAAGAGATCTAGTGATCGCAGAGGGAGGGCACCATCGAAACTCTCGATCCTTTCATGAATCTCAACTAGATTCCTACAAGGATCGAAGCTAGCATCTTCAGGCAAAAACTTCAGAGGAGGGGCACAGAAGGTAGGTTTTGGGCAGGCAACCAATACAAGAGAACTTCGAATCATAGTAGTTGGGGCGTCAACATCATTTTCAAGCGCAAGTCTTCGCGTTAATGTCAGCGGGCGAAATTGTGCTCCCAGGTCTTCAACGAGGCTTTCATCGCTAGATCTCCCATCAACGTTTTCCATGGCAATGATGTTGGTGAAGGTTAAAGTCAATGACGCAGAAGATTTAGGATGTTCAAAACAATATCATGGTCTGGCAATTGGGCAAGGGGATTTGGTGTTGGAAGGGTTGGAGTGATTTCAGGTCTAAACAGAGCTGACGTAATTGCGGAAAGGTGCGTTGAAACTAAGGGGTACTTCTGGGCGGCCGTAGATCTCGCCATGTCATGACGCCCGGGTCAGCAGAAGCAGGTGGGTAGGTGAATACGTACGTATGTAGGTAGGCAGGTAGGTACAGGGAACTGCTAAAGTCGTCTCTTTTTGTGTTGTTTTCAAGAAATCAGCTGCGGAACAGTGTTTTGCAGAAGTCGTCTCTTTTTGGCTTCCCACAAGCTGAACGCAGGATGTGTGATGATGTTTTGTTTTTGACCCCTTATTTTGCGAATGTTGCGTTTAGGTTGGTGTTTGCATGAAAACACTTAGGGGTCTTGTTGCTTAAATGTTGCGTTGCCTGTATAAAAGAGAGAGATATATATATGACATTATCATTCCATTGGATCATTGCTTTTTGTAAGACCACAAAACGCATAGGCACGCTGAATTTCACCAACATGAACCTACCATTTGTAGTCATAAACCTTCTTATTGTTTGTTTGTCCATTGCAGGGCACACAACACAGGGGTACACTGGGTCAGGGATGCTTTGCACGACTTATTTGGCACTAGGTGTGCCATTGGGAAACAGATAATTAAACTACTGGATCGATGTTGTAACAAGTGCCAATGACAAGATCTTGTGCCACATCGTGGTGTGCCTATGAGGAAAGCTATGAGGAAAGGCTCACATGGGCAGCGCCTATGACTTTAACTTACTGATGTATTCTTTGGCACTTCGCATATGCACACGGCGCTTACCTGTCATATCTTTGTGGGTTTACCCGCCATACTCCCAAAGATCAATAGATGAAAGTCGTGGCAAGTGTATACTTTTCCTGGATTTAGGTTGGCAGACAAATTTTAGGAAGTCGGTGCGGTCGTGGCGTTTAGGTGAGTTTTGAAATTGGTAGCACGTTTCATACGTAAAACATGTGTTTGAGCTGTGTTTTGCTTCAGTTTGGGGCTCAAATATAGACAATCGAACATAGACATAGGTCATCCTGACCTGCTGCCCTATGCCTGGTGGTTCCTCTGCCCATGGCTTTGCTTCCTCTTCCCCAGACAGTTAGGCTAAGGTATCTTTGGCTATCACGGTTCCCACGTCTCAACCAGTCTGTGCCCGCTCAAATTTCTCATCACCGCCTTGTTTGCCAAGCTTGCGTCCCTTTGTCTCCCCTCTGTCTCCCTTACTCGCCCTTTGTCTCCTCTTCTGTCTCCTTGCTCTTGCCTGCAGCTGCTGCTTGGCTTGGTTTCCTCTTCTCCTCCACCGCTGAAAGCTCTTGAGTTTTACTGTTCTGAAAAGAATGCGAAAGCGTGTGGCTACTAAAGACTTTGTCAGGAGACTTAGGGGGTCAGTCTCCCAAAATTTGATTTTGGACCTCGTTCGCACCTCGTTCGGACCTCGTTAAAATTGCAGCCAGTCAAAACCCAGCCCGGAGAGGTTTTGGAAAGGCTTTGCAATGGTTTGCTACTTGGTCTGCTGCTGCTGCTGTTGTTGCTTGTGCTGCTGCTTCTGGGCAAGGCGCGGTTTTTGGGCAGAGAACCAAGAATTTGTGAAAGGGCTGGAAGCTGCGCGGAAGAAACCAAAAGCATCAGAAGATGACCTGAAAAAAGAAAGTCGCTCCGATCAGCGGTGTGCCATGGGGAAGTGGATGAAAGGGTTGATTGGCATGAAGCTGAATTCATCACAGAAACCACAGGACTGCAACGTCGATCACATCCAAGTTTGTATGTTGGAAATGCCATGAAACTTGGTGTGCCATGCGGAGGATGATCGTTCTGACTGTTCAAACAGGCGGAAGATTATTGATGTCTGGCGTAAGCGGTGTGCCATGCGGCTGGCGCAAGTTCTAGTAAATGCCGTTGGATCACGCCGGGGCTCGTGCCGAAATCAAACGAATCCATGTCCGGAGTTGACAAGAAAACGGGGCGTGTGCTGCAGAATTGGTTATTTTTCTCATTTGGATGGAAGGCAGCTGTTTTGCTGTCAATGCGTGTGTGCCCACTTTCAACATGGTTTTATCACCAAAGGAGATGGTATTAAATATGTGGTTCGCAATGGCACGGACACATTTTACATATTTTGTTTGCCAAACCAACGGAGGTGTGGTACTAGTGTGCCAATAGGATTTGGTCCCTGGGGTAACTTCCGGATGGCCTGGGGTAACCCTGTGTGCCATTGGGATGGGGTAAATTCTGGGTGCCTGGGGTAAGAAACAGCGTCCGCCCAGTCCAGGAGATGTTTTCCCAGCGTTGCCACGCAGAGATGATTTTTTCTACTATATCTTTTGGCATTCAAAAGAATAGCGGCCCACCAGCAGAATGCAATGATTTCTACAATTTCAAGATCGTAGGTGATTAAAAAAACATTCAGTAAATCTAGCGTTCACATGGGGGAAACCATCAAAGGGATGACTTAGGGATGACTTCTTGGAAACAGCGTTGACAATGGGGAAAACCCAAAAGGGACAGTGAGGGATGACTTTCACTTCTACCTGTAGGTGTGTAGGTAGGTAGGTGTGTAGGTAGGTAGGTCGGTAGGTAGGTAGCAGGGTAGGTAGGTACAGTAATTATGTAGGAGGTGGATAAAGAGATAGAAGATATTATAGAATGCTAGGCAGATATAAATGCCAGGGGGTTGCTTTTCCAAAGACATGGGATGATGGAAATACATGTGAGTAAACGACAAAATTATTGTAATACTTGATTTAGTCTTGCTTCGCTTTGGTCTTTCTGAGGTTGCACAAAGCCTTCATAACCGATAGGGGACGACCCTAATTTGTGCATGGCAGAAATTTAACAAGTAACTTAACTTAGTCCGCTACTCATGTGAATCAGGGCTCAAACTGCCTCAACGGAAGGGCGCTTGATTGAGGCGCTTTTTATGTGGCGACTATTAATGTTCGCGCTTTGCCAGGATGTTGGTGGAAGACTGCTAAAAAAAAGTGGGACATTTTGTGTTTTGCATAGGTTCAAAGGGATCGTTTGAGCTAGATATAGCTAGATTGCACGTGTAAGTTCAAGTGAGGAGGCCACAGCGTAACATCAAACATCGGTGCCTGAACATTATTCCTGCCCACCCGCCCACCCCACGCCATCAATCTATACCGTTGCCTGAAGAAGGACATGCCCCCTCCAGCCCGCTCCAATAACATGGCCCTTTGTTGCGCCAACAAGTTCCACAAAACGGTGAAATTGGATACTTCCAACAAACATGTGCAATTGAGACAGAAAAGGTAAACTAAGTCGATGTATGATAACTTGTCTTGTGTGCACAAAGACAACAATACTGCAACTGAACAAGTGAAGGCCCCAGTGAAGGCCCCCAAAAACTGTGTGGTTGGAACATGTTGTTGACTGCGAAATATGTTGTCCAACAGGGAACGGTTTCAATGCATATGGATGTATATGGCCGTAGGTGTAGTTATGTGTTGTTTGAATTGTATATGATGTCCGAATTTGTTCCATTTGTTTGTGCCATACGGTCCTTGTTTTTGTATCTTTCTGGTCCATGAGGTGTACTTATGCATTTGCAACCTGTTTGACTTGTGGTTAATGATGGTGTCTTGCAGGGCATATGTTCACCCTCCCAAAAAAAAAATGTATTTCGAGTTTGTATGTTTGGCACACTTTCTTCCCGTTCTACGACATTTGTTCTACCGAAACCACGACATAAACAGGAATAACAAAACATGCAACATCTTCACAATATATAAATTTGCCAATTTTGCAGTCAAACTCCATAACATGATCCAACAAGGGCAAGTATGCAGCACTATTCCGCCCATCTCATTTATGAATTCTTTTGAATTGTGTTGTATGCACTCAGTCAAAACAATAGATTATGGCTGACAAAAAACATGTTGGAACCGTTGGTTATTGCAATGCACAGATTCTGACATGGAATCGGTTCGGTGCTCAGGTTTGGACACGCTGTTCCCATGGAATGAATTTTCTGGTGCACTCAGGTGGCGGGTAGAGAACTGTTGGGTCAGCATTTGTCTGGATCCAAGTTTTTAAGTTTTGAATATTTTGAACTGAGCAGCTGTGGGGCCAGCTGTGGGGCACAAACATTTGCACTTTGACTTGAGGCCCATTCATGGTCGTGGTTTGCAGCTTGTGAAGGTGATCCGAAATTTGGGTTGAATCCGCATACCTTTTTATTGAAATCAAGGAAGTTCCAGCAGTTGCGTCCATATTTGTCAGGCAATTCTTGTCCAACTTGGTTACAAGGCCTTGCCATTGTTTTCTTGTGGTGGCTGGTGGCTTGGTGACCAAAACAAAGGGGTGCGGAATCTGTTCGTTTGGAGGCCACGAAACTTTGGAAAACATGGTTTGCCACAGCTGTGGGGACCCAGTATCCTTTCTTTCTCGTTGCGGAAACAATTTCTGATTTTTCGATTGCAAACGATGCAAACGTCTTTAGGTTGCTGTTATTTGCGCAACGCAACTTGGAAGATGGAGAAGGCGAACAGAATTCAGTCAAAATTCATCCAAAAACTCCATGTTTCCACTGACACTTCAGGAAATCAGATAGCTCTCCTCCACAATTTCGGATCGAATCGCTTCAGCCCTAGAGCAATGAAAATGATGAAACGCGCTGACATTGGATGACAGGTGATGACATTGTCATCGATTGTCACCATTGAAACTCAGGTGCCGTCGAAAACGCTTTACCGACCTCTTGCAAACTGCTGGGCGCTTTGCAGCAGGAGTGCTCGACATTTCTTGTTTGTGGACTTGGAGAGGATTCTTTTGTGATGTTTACTGGGTATTGGACACTTCCCTGCCTGCTAGAGCTGTGGCACACAAGGATCGGAGATAGTTGTGCTATTTGTGGCGTCTGGTTTGAATGCTTGGCTTATGCTGTACAAGGCCTTCCTGCACTTTGCATAGTGCCCTTTCGGTACTCTTTGTTTTGTTCTTTGTGTATATGATGTTATGTTGTTTTCTTGTTGTAGGCTTGGAAGATCCTCTGCATCCAACTTGCTGTTTTTGTTTGTTTGTTCAGCATGTTCGTCTCCTGCCACGACAAAATTTGCCCCGGCACTTTTCGGAGGCATGGTTAATGCGAGAATTCGTGACTGGTCAGAACTTGGGTCGCTGGAAGGAGTCTGAACCTCAAATGACAATTTTATTTTTTCTTCCTAGGAGCAGTTTACCAAAGTTGTCCATCCCAACTTTCTATAACCTTTGCCATGAGGTGGTTCAAAGCATTGGCCAAGTTTCCTTTCGCAATTCTGGCCAGTGCTTTGCTGTCTCAGACAACAAAGTACGTGCAGGCGAAACCTTGACTCTTTGACCTCTTACAGAGAGTGCTTGAGCCACAACCTGTATTGGTTCCCTAGCTTGGCGATAGAGCCGAGTTCACGTGATTTTGGTCTCTGTTTGTGCTGTATAGGCAGCACTTTTAATATTGCTGTGCCACTATAACTGCCCCAGTCCAAACATTCATTTGTTGCCTGTCCATGTCGGTCTTTTGTCACGAGTTGCAGATCAGCCTTGTATCAAGGTGTGTGTGTGGACATTCATGAGTTGCAGTAAATAAATATAAATGAAACAGCATCCAGTGAAAGATTACTGGCAGCTATGCATGGACTGCTCTTGCCGTTGTCCAGGCAAGGGTTTCCATGCTGTGGCGAAAAACGGCAACGAGCAGCCTCTTGTGACTTGGATCTTTTCTGGCATGCGGCATGATGCTGTCTTTTTTCGCTTTAGCGGCATGCAGCACCTTCCTCATATGTCATATGGATGGATGCAAATCCGAGGCGGAGCTACTTTTCGAACATGCGCCTCACTTGGAACCCATACTCTATTGCTCAGACAGTGCCAGCGCTTGTACTTCTTGCACTGCCTGAAATCTGATTCGTATACCTTCCTATTTTGTACAAGGAACTACTACAAATTGCTACATCACGGCAGTGTTCGAATAGAAGATGTTGATGTTCGCATATGTTCGGACGTGAGGCACTGTACATGTACTGGATTGGGAAGGGCTTGCATTAAATCAATTACTTTACTTCGTGTGATCCCCACCATGACATTTATACATTTTCTTACTGGCAAATCTTCTGGCATTCTATCTGACATATCTTCTGACATTCTATTTGACATTCTATCTGGCATATCTTCTGGCATATGATCTGGCATATCTTCTGGCATATCTTCTGGCATTCTATCTGGCAATCTTCTGGCATTCTATCTGGCATATCTTCTGGCATTCTATCTGGATCTGGCATTCTATCTGGCATATCTTCTGGCATATATTCTGACATATCTTCTGGCATTCTATCTGACATATCTTCTGGCATTCTATCTGACATATCTTCTGGCATATCTTCTGGCATATCTTCTGGCATATCTTCTGACATATCCATCTGGCATATCTTCTGGCATATTTTCTGGCATTCTATCTGGCAAATCTTCTGGCATTCTATCTGGCATTCTATCTGGCATATCTTCTGGCATATTATCTGGCTTTCTATCTGGCATATCTTCTGGCATATATTCTGACATATCTTCTGGCATTCTATCTGGCATTCTATTTGGCATTCTATCTGGCATATCTTCTGGCATATCTTCTGACATTCTTTCCGACATTCTTTCTAACTTTCTTCTGCACATTCTTTGTCCCATATCTTCCTACATGAGGTCCGGCAGGGAACACTTGGCGTGGATACTCGCGGTTGAGGTCCGGCAGGGAACACTGGGCGTGGATGGTCGTGGTTGAGGTCCGGCAGGGAACACTGGGCGCGGATGGTCGCGGTTGAGGTCCGGCAGGGAACACTGGGCGCGGAATGGTCGTGGTTGAGGTCCGGCAGGGGACACTGGGCGCGGATGGTCGTGGTTGAGGTCCGGCAGGGAACACTGGGCGTGGATGGTCGTGGTTGAGGTCCGGCAGGGAACACTGGGCGTGGGTGGTCGTGGTTGAGGTCCGGAAGAGAACACTGTGGATCGCGGGTCGCAGTTGAGCAAGGACGACGAGGACGACGAGGACGACAAGGACGACAAGGATGACAAGGAGGACGAGGAGGAGGAGGACGAGGCAGGAGGAGGCGGAGGAGGAGGAGGAGGAGCAGGAGGAGGCAACTGACATAAAATCTAACAACCCTCACCTGGCAGATGGGGAACAACTTTGAGATGGTGCCACTGCGTGATTCGTGTTTCAAAACTGGTGCTCAGTATTGGAAAAACAGAGCAACTAATTTCGGATTGCCGACATAGATAGTGATACATACATAGAACATCATAGAACACATAAACTCTTACAGTGAAATAAACCGCTTGCGTTTCAGTTTGGTGAGTCTCCGTTGGTTCAAATTTGCGCCTTCCTACGAATCTGTGGCAGGTCTGGCTGTGATGCTTTGACAGGTGTTTTGATCAGTGGCCTTTCGGGTGTTGCTCGGCCAGTTTCATGTTGGCTCATGCGTTGGCTGATGCGTTGGCTCATCCTTTGGTGCTTCTGCACTGTATCCTGCACCAAGTTGATCCAAGTTGTCATGTAGATTGCCTGAGGTCATGATGGCATCCTTTTCCACGTGGGCACTGTTTTCTCCTTAGCAGCCTTAGCAGCAGAGTCTCTTTGTGAAATGGTTCCGTCGCCGTCGTCCTTCCTTATCCTGCCCTTAAGCCGGTCATTCCATACAGAAATGTTTCTGTCATGTCCGAGGTATCAACGCCGTGGGCTGTCTGCTGTATTTCTGCCGCCATCCAAGAGTGCTGTGATTCGCAGTGGGCTGTTGTTGACACTACCTGAGTGCGCTCTACTGACTCTACTGCAATTTCAATTGTGCACCAGTCTCACCAAATGTCTGTATATATGGAGCGGCTTGGTTTTTGTGTGAAGTGTGACCCAGGCCCTACATCTACAGCTTCATCATCGTTCCCCTTAGTTACAGGCGAGCGAGACATCGTCGCATGATATTCCAAATGATTGCAGCATATTGCAGTAATTTGCAGTTGTTTTGGCCAGGCTTACCAGCCCCGATTGGAGTGTCTCAAGACTTGTCCAGAAGGCGAGGGCACACAATGCACAGAGCTGACAGAGCATCGAGCTATGGCAGCTACGGCATGGCAGCTATGGGCTGCGAGTCTGCCGTGTTGCTGTGTGCTTTGGGATTGAGATTTGAGTTGAGTCTGTTGCATTCTGTTGAGTCTGTCGAGTCTCCAACTTCCAGGCCAATGCAGCCTATCAGCAGGCTGAGACTGCGCTTCTCTAAATTTCGGTCCACAAGTTGAACTATTTAGATGTCCCAGGCCTTGACGCGAGTTGAGCAGGCGGGTGAAAGTCCGGTCCTTGGCAGGGGGTCTATCGGTTGGGAATGGTTGGGATAGGTTGGGTAGGTTCTAAAGTTCATGGGCTGCAAAGGTGTTGCCTGGACAGACGGGACGAATCGTTATCAGTGAGGTATATATGTGTATATATGTGTATATATGTGTATATATGTGTATATATATGTATATATATGTATATATATGTATATATGTATATATGTATATATGTATATATGTATATATGTATATATGTATATATGTATATATGTATACATGTATACATGTATACATGTATACATGTATATATATGTATATATGTGTATATATGTGTATATATGTGTATATATGTATCTATGTGTATATATGTGTATATATGTGTATATATGTGTATATATGTGTATATATGTATATATGTATATATGTATATATGTATATATGTATACATGTATATATGTATATATGTATATATGTATATATGTATATATGTATATATGTATACATGTATATATGTATATATGTATATATGTATATATGTATACATGTATATATGTATATGCAGCTGGAGAATGGCAGTGAGCGGGGGCACAAAAGAAAAAGCTATGCCACAAGTTTCAACCAATCGCGCCAAGTGCTCAGCAGCACTGATGTTTTCCAAGATCGCTTCCGATCTCACGATTCCATGGCTTAGGTGAAGCCACACGAAAAAGGGGCCCCTTCCTGAGCATTGACGGCGGACGAACAACCTGACAGCCAGGTGGTGAAAGTTGCATCACCCCAAAAGGAAAAATCAGGTTGTGAGTCTTTGACTCGATCTATGGCACTCACTGCTGTATGGCCTTTCTTTGCGTTCTTCTTCGCAGCAGTAAACGTTGGATCAAAAGCTACGCACCATAGCTTCGTCTTCAAATACTTCAAAAGACCAATACGGCAATCTGGCCGTTTCTTCGTCAAAGCATCTCCTAAATCATAATCACTTGCAAGCCATCTCAGAAAACAGTGGGTGCGAATCATGCTTTCACGGAGTTGCAAAGCTTGAAGTGCAGATCTAAGATTGCTCAAACCGAGCATAGGACTCTCGTTGACCTGGACTGCATCATAGCCACCCTTGGAGTCTGTTCCAAGAATGCCAACAGTATTACGGACTTGGTTTTCCGCCCAGGCAACTTGATCAACTTGGGGTGTTCGGTGCCAGCCAGCTCCATGCATCTCAGTCCAGAGAAGGCGCACACGGAAGTTATGGTCTTCGCCCTCAAGAGCAGCTTGAACTTCCGCATCATTCGAGCTGATTGCCTTGCGCTTCAGCTTCCAGCTCTTCCAAGACAGAAGAACCATTGGACAGACATGCCCATGTTTGGCCTCCGGGCCAGCCATCAAAGTTACAAGGCCACCAGTGGAATCGCCACCAGGACGGTTGCTGTGAGCTTGGTCTGAAAGCGTGACCACGATGATATCCTTCCAGGACTTCGCAGTCTTCAGCTTGAAGAACTTGAGCTCGGTAGGCTGCTGTCGTACTTCGCCAATCATCCGCTGAATCTCAAGCGCTGACGACATCTTGGCATACTTTACAAGTTCAGAAAGCAGGAGGTTACATCGTGCACATAGAAGAGGTTGGGTTTGTATCGCTAACCATTGCAGGGATCCAAGAGCGCCACGGCATGCTGCAAGTTCGTGGCTGGAAAGAGTTGCATTTTCGTCACGTAGACGATCCGCAGGAATGTTCACATCTGTGAGCATGTCAATGTAGTACTGCTGATTGATTGTAATCACCTGGTCGCCATCGCGATCGCGAGTGATCTTCAAATCAGTACCAGCATGTCTGTACTCATTGGTTTTCGCCATGCCCCATTTATATGCTTCATCAATGCGCTTGCAAACATATTTCCACTCTTCAGATCTGGGATTACCACATCGATGAAAATCGTCGACATGGCCGCCCATCATGCCAATGACAATGGGATTGCCATCTTCATCTTTCTCATATTCGCTGGTCCAAATCCAGAGACATCGTTCACCCATGGCGGGTTTGCCACCAAGTTCACATAGCTTGTTGTGCAAATCAAGCCAAAGTCCACGAGGTGCTGTCGTGGAGCCATAGATGTTACGCTGGATACGCATGATGCTTTCAGGTCCAACTTGAAGAGCTTCTCGTAGTTCTGCTACGCCTGATGTCCAAAGTCGGGCATCAGCGCTGGTTGGTGCAGTTTGGAGAAAGGCTGTTGCAAGATCTAGTCCTTCAAGAAACCAATCATGTTGACATACGTTTTGATATAGCAGGTTTCTGGCTATCACTGACTGGACTGGAGAACTGGTCTTGTAGTCTGAAGAGCCTAACTCAGGGTGCTCATAGCCTAGCAAGACAATTCTTGCTTTGGCTTTCTTGAGGCCATCACTGGTGTGGACAGTCTCTTTGTTGGAGCGTGCATCTTGGACTGCTTCTTGTCGATCTTCAGGCGGTATCAGCTTCCAAGTCAAAACCCAACGCGCACGAAGGATGCGCCCAGAGCCAAGAGCTTCTTGGATTTCACGGTCATCCAAGCACTTTCTGACAGCTTGGTTCTGCAGAAATGAGTTCACTTCTTTGGACTTGGCTCGAGTGAACAGATCCTTGTGCTCGTTGCTAAGTTTGCTGAAAACAACTTCAGAGTCACGAAGCTTTTTGACCAGGAACGCTGTGGGGTTGTTGATGAAGTCTTTCTGGGATCTGCGGTGATTGAAGTCAACATCAATCTCAATGGCCAGCATATCCTTCTCAGAGTGAAGGAAAGATTGAAAAAGATTCCATTGCTGATCTTCTTCTGCAACTGCAGCATGTAGCCACTTCATGTGGTGTTCCGTGGGGTTTCGGTGAACACCATCTTCAGAGACTGTGGCAACATAGGAAAGCATAGAAATCTCTTCAGTCTTTTGTTTCTTTTCGGGTTGCTCATATGGAGGTGTATCATCAAGTAGTGGTGGATCACGTTCACGTTCACCATCATCAACGACTCTGTCATGTCCATCATCAGGTAGTGGTGATTCAGGTTCATATTCATCATCATATTCATTGACTGGTCGCGGAGCTAGTTCAGGTCCTGCTGCAAGACGCTGGAGACGTTCTTCAGCAGTTTCTGCATTTTCGGGTAAAAGTTGATTCTTCCCAGTGACACGTCGCTTGGGAATGAAAAGAGTTGTTGAAGAATCAGGTTGTTGTGGTAAATCAGGTTCTTCAGATTCTTCTTCACCAGGGACTTGGTCTGTGAGATCTTCATAGTCACGTGCAGGCAAGATGTCTGCGATAGATCTCCATTGTGTTGGGTCATCTTTGTTGCTGATCTCATAGGCAATCTGTTCTGTGGTCGTGACAGGTCTCACAGAATGGACGCTACATCGCATCAATTGGTTGCCAATGAGAACCCAAACCAAGTGCCGTCGATGATCGTCATGATCTTGGTGAGGTAAAACTTCATGGAAAATAACTCTACCAGGACCAATCCAATGAGGTTTGATGGACAACTTGCCGCCACCACGTTTGCCTTGATGTAAATGTGAAGGCAGTTGCTTGCGCCAAACTTTGACAAGTTGAGTTGGGTGAAAAGTGCGCAAGGGTTGTCTCACCTTTGAGTTCTTCAGCTTGGAAAGGACACGCAAGGATCGTGTCTTCCTTGCCACAGCTTCGGCTTCATGTCTGGCACGGACCAAGGCCTCATAGGACATGGAGTCGTCAGACTTTGCAATGTCCTTGAAGGTCCGAAGGTCTTCATCGGTCAGCACATAGTCTTTTCCATAAGCCCACTGAAAGGAGGAGTATCCCTTGGTGTACTCTGTAGCGTTCAAGGCAGCACATGCTAGCATCAAAGTCACCTTGGGTTCCAACGTAGGCTGATCAGTTTGGATTGCGGACGCTGTCATCTTCACGTCCTTGACTGCTGACTCGACAATGCCATGTGCCCATGATTCACGCTCTGCAGGAAAACTGAGAAAAATTCCAGTTGAATTGCAAAACTCATGCGTCTCACGGCTTTGAAAGGTCTTGGCGTTGTCAGGGATCAAAATCTCAGGCTTTGGTTTGTCGCAAAGCCATTTTTCAGCAAAACCAGTAATGACATCCTGTGTGCTTTCAGCTTTCATTTCGACAAAGCTATATTCTTTGGCTACATGTATGACTTTCAGCTTTGTTGCTAAATCCATGTACAGGATGAACTTGATCTTGACACGTTGACCAGGTACCAGCCATTCGCTGGCATCAAAGCCTATGGCCTGCCACGCCTTGTAGGTCTCGTGGGTCGCAGCAGGAGGCACATTGTCGGAGCTGGAACCGCCAAGTTTGATGCCCTCACAAGCAGCGCATCGAAACTGACGAGCCATTTCAAGTTTCCATTCTGGCAAGCCTGCGTCTCGAAAGAGATGGATGAGGTTTCTGTTGGTTGGGTGTCCAGCTGTGCGGTGGTAATGGTGCAGCCTTGCGTTCCATGCATCTTGTTCTTTTTGAGGAATGGCTGCCAAGGATCTCGCAGCGCTGGACGAAGGAACCAACTGTTCATCCTTGGCCTCAGATGAGGCAGCAGCATCTGCGTCAGCAGATTCACTTGCCATCGCTTCTTGTTGTAGAGCTCGACAATCATGTTGAGGTAGTACTGGATGAAGTCTTCGCTCCCAGTTTTCATCTTCATCGATCACATCATCAGTGGATGATGTCAGGAGCTTGAGGTGTCGAAGAGGAGCAAGTTGACGTTTCCAATGTCGAACAATGCTTTCGACCATCCTCTTCGGGTAGTAGGCAGTTCGGCTTGTTTCCAAGCCTTGAATAAGACTGTGGGTATGGTTTCTGGGGCACACTTTTGCCCTGAAGTTCTTCCAAAAAAGTTCATCTGTGGTCTTGATGAGCCACTTTTTGTGCAGAAAAACATCATTCTTGGAGTCCATGAGCCCATAGTTGCATCCATCGATGCGACAGGATTCCCATGCAATGCCACGTTTTTGAAGATCTTGTTCAAGTTTCACCATAGGACCTTGTTGCCAACCGCTGCAAGGATAAGTCCATTCCCAGTACACATCAAGGTCTGGGTCTTCGTCAAGGGCTGTCACAAGAAAGTCAGCTACCCATCTCAGCATTCGGCGTTCACGACGTCGCATGCTTTCAAGAACTTCCTTGCGCTCAGGAGTGTTGTAGTTGACCTGGGTCCGTTTGCAAAACTTGGTACAAGGAAGGCTAAGCCATATCTTCTTGGGACGCCGTTGACGACGTTCTTCCTTCAAACGCATCCACGTTTCAGGCTTGTAGATGTCATAGCCCTGGGCAAAGTTGATTCTGCGACTTGGAATTCCATGTTCATTGGCAGCTGCTGTAAGCCAGCTGTTCTCTGAGCAGGCAACTTCCCAGAGACCTTCACGGTCTTCAAGGCTCGCATCCAAAGCCACCGAAGTCAAGGTAGAGGTCATCACGGCGACCATCTGCATCATTTTCATGGCAATGTTGTTGGGAAGAGGTTTTCTCGAAGACATCATGGACTTTGTCATACTTTTGGACATAGACGCCGACGACAAGCTCGTAGGTGTCTTGGTCATAGAGGAGTCTTGGCACATAGAGGAATTTTGGCACATAGAGCTCGGCTTGGTTTTGGAGCTCGATTCGACAAAGCTAACATGCTTCGCAGAAGGGCTCGACAAAGACGTAGAGCTCGAGGATCTCATTGTCCGATGCTCTCGGCCATCTGCGTCTCGAGAGCCAATGCCATATCCTCCTCCACAGGAACTTCCCAGCTGTGAGGGCTGGACGATGTTGATTGTCCGCCCGGCTTCGCCTTGGCCTTTGGAGTGCTGATTGGAACTTCTTCCACCGGCACTGGATTCTTCAAGGCGCTGGTGATCAGAGTTCTGAGCTGGGCTTCCGCTGTGATCTTGTCCATCATGGCCTTGCAGATGCGAGCTGTTGGCTTGCAGTTTTGCATCAACGGCTGGAGCTCGGCGAGCATCTGCTGGACCATTGAATGGTTCATTGCCTGTGTCGATGAGCTTGGAGCGCCCTGTCTTGGCACGTAAATCATCCTGACATTGCACACGTCGCAATGTCTCCACATTCCATGAGCATTCTTCTGCCAAGTGCCCGGCTGGTGCTGGTTGTAGCACGGCCATGTCCCTTGAGCTCTTGGGTCTCGAGGGTCCATCTCGATCTTGCGGTTCATGTCTGGAGGCTGAGATGGATTCTTGGGCTTGGGTGGAGTCATGCCTTCGATCACGGTCAGCAAATCCTGCTCGGTCTTCGAAGTCTTTGGGGCCATTGCGCAGGTGATCACGAAAGGAGATGTCGACGTGGGGATCAGGTTGTGCTTCAGAGCACATTGAGTGAGCCAATTTGGCTGCAGCATTCGACTTGACATGATCATAGAGCTTCCACATCAGTTCCTTTCGTTGATCAGGATTCACTGGTGCTTTGCGTTCAACTTGAGAATGATAAAATTCCAATGGCCGAAACTGCAAAGTTGATGAAAAAACTTGCTGTTCACTGCGATCAACATGTACATGTGCAGACCCTTGCTGGTTGGATTTGCCACGAGTGAGGTGGTAGACAACGTCATACACAAAATGTCCCTTGGAGTTGGTCTTCAATTGATAGAGATCTGCTTGGGGGTCTACACCGTCAATCACATAGCCCAAACTAAAATCCACCAACATTTGACAACCAGAAGTACCAATGTGGTCCATGCCGATGAGAATGGGGACTAAGTTGTTGGGTGAAGGATCATCAGGATTGGGAAGTGCAAATAGTGAAAAACTATATACGATGTTGCCCTGAAACAGTTGATGAAATAGTTGCTCTGTAAAGTGCTTGACCCCATTTCCCATTTCCAAACCTGAAAAACGGCCGCACATATGGCTGGATGTCGACCTTCGCTCCACGGTCTTGTGCCAAAATGGCCTGAATAAGACCATGAACTGCTAAATCAGGTGCCGCAGAAGCTGTTGCACCGCAATCTAACATACCAGTGGTAGAACTGGTCAAGGCATCTTTGACGGCTGTTGCAGCCGAAAAATGAGGCTGAGGGTCCATTTCAAGTCCACCAAGGTCGTAAAAGGCAGTGTAGGCATTCACAGGAGGCCTGACTGGCTTCCCAAAGTTCTTCCCTTTCCCTTTGGTCTTGCTGGTCCAAAGAGCATATTGGTCAGCCATTGCAGCTGACTTGAACTTGCCTTTCATACCCTTCTTGCCCTTGCCTTTGGCCGGGGTCGTGTAGTAGAGCTGGTGGTCGTCATAGGACATCATGTGGTTGTTCTTGCCACCTTTGCCAGAGTAAGAGAGTACACGCTTGTCTGGGCAATCGCGGGCAAAATGGTTGCCACCGCAGCTGAAACATCTGGTAGAAGGAGGACCATGTTGTCCAAAACCACGGTCTTTGCGCATCTGCTGAGTGGTGCATTGAGCTTCCACCCATGTGCGCTTGGCTTCCATCGCTAGTTGTTCCGCAGCTTGCTCAGCTTGATGTGCTTCTTTCAACTGGTCATCTTCTTCTTCGACAGGCGCCAAAGTTGGAGGCTCAGAGCTTGCATGTTCTTCTTCCCATGGCCAATCATCATACCATTCTTCATGCCATTGTGCATCGCTCCACCAGTCAGCATCATGAGACGAAGTGTCCCAAGAGTCAGAGGGCCACGTATCATCGTCCCAAGACTGTTGCATGTACACATGTCCATAGTTGGAGGATGCCGAAGAAGGATGATATCTCTGGCCAAGCAACTGTTCGTCACACACGGTCTGTAGGGCCGTGCTGATGGCTTCAAACTCAAGCCTGTTTTGAGTCGTGGAGAGGATGTCACGGGTTTCCTCAGCATTCAAACATGCAGCTTGAAGTAAGCGCCATCCACGCAGCACACCCATGATGAATGAGTCAGTTGGAGAAAGCTCACTCACACCTGCAGTTGAAGGTGCTTGAATGGCAGCTGAATGAACAGAAGGAGGTCCACCTCGTCCATGACTTGGTGAAGAACCCATGCTAGCCCGAACTTCTTCTTGAACTCCAGAAGGTTGTTGATCTTCAGAACGTTCGCCTTCAGCAGGAGGTTGTCCCATATGAACTGGAGGATCAGCGGTATCATCAGCAGTAGTTGTTGATGCAGCTGTGTTGTCATAGCTATCATCATACCACCAAGTCTCCCATGCATCTTCTTCTTCCAGAGGAAGTCCAAAGTTCATCTCAGAGGGATCAACGCCATTGCGCTCCTCCCACAAACGCTGGCGAGCTTCCGCAAACTCCTCATAGCCCAAAGTCTCGCGGACCAGGAAGTTCGCCATGCTTTCACCTGGACGTCGTTTGAAGCTCAGGTACTGCTGCAAGATCGCTGCAGTGTTGGGTAAAGTCTGCCGCACAAGTGGAGAGGCAGCAAGCTTGCGAAGAAGAACCAAAGTTCCACCGTTGCTAGCAAACTCAGACCTATTCCATGACATGGCTAAAAGACGTGCAGTTCCTTGCAGTTGGCTAATCAGCTTGGAGACTACATATCGTCTTTTATTCACTGGAGTTGAGGACACATACCAAGCCACTTCTTTTGTATATCTACGCCATCCCTTCGCCTGACCATCCCAAGTTGGAATTCTGCCAGCTGAGTCACGTTCCGTCATACTTCAGGAAGGAGAAAAGGTGTGAACTCCTTAGTTCACTGAAGAAAATGCAAAAGCAATTGCCAAAGACCTCAGCAAGGTTGTTGTGATGCCGTAGGCTTCGGCAATGAAGTAGTAATGCAAAAAAAAGTATGTTCACCCAGAGAGACAGCTCTTAAAGGAATCTCACCAGGCAGCAAAAAGTAGGCCCTGGAGCACCGTCGCTCCGCTGCCAATGCAGCTGGAGAATGGCAGTGAGCGGGGGCTCAATCGACAATGCAGTTGCTTTCACAAAAGAAAAAGCTATGCCACAAGTTTCAACCAATCGCGCAAACTGCTCAGCAGCACTGATGTTTTCCAAGATCGCTTCCGATCTCACGATTCCATGGCTTAGGTGAAGCCACACGAAAAAGGGGCCCTTTCCTGAGCATTGACGGCGGACGAACAACCGGACGAACAACCTGACAGCCAGGTGGTGAAAGTTGCAGTATATATGTATATATGTATACATGCATATATGTATACATGTATATATGTATATATGTATATATGTATATATGTATATATGTATACATGTATATATGTATATATGTATATATGTATATATGTATACATGTATACATGTATATATGTATATATGTATATATGTATATATGTATATATGTATACATGTATATATGTATATATGTATATATATGTATATATGTATATATGTATATATGTATATATGTATACATGTATATATGTATATATGTATACATGTATATATGTATATATGTATATATGTATATAAGTATATATGTATATATGTACACTATCTATTTATATATCTATTAAACCAAGCACCATGGCCCCAGGCCCGCCTTTGATCGCCTGAAGATGGGCGCCAGCGAAGTACAAACTCGGAGGCGCGGAGCAGCGCCACCCAGCACGCTGGTGGAGAAGGTGGATCTTGGGGATAGGGGTGGGATCACCTCAATATCAAATAATGTGTGTTGTGTATGTATATATAGATAATTTTGCACCATGCCATGCCATGCCATGCCATGCCATGCCATGCCATGCCATGCATCCATCCATCCATGTACGTACAGTGCAAAGTCAAAATGTCAAGTGTTCACCAGGTCCAGCTAAATCAAGAGTAAAAGGTGTTTTCACATGTTCCGGTGCTGGAGTTCAGCCGAACGATGCTGGCCAGGGCCGTTGGTCGTGGGAAGTCCATGAGTGGCTGTTTATGTCCCAACAGCGCCCAACAGGTTGTCATTCTGACAGCATGAACAGAAAATGGCTATGAGTCAATATCGAAGGACTTGGGAAACACAGATTTAAACATTTTGTTTCTGCACACATTTGCCAATCTGCCACACAATTGGGTGAATGGCCAGTATGCTTGGTAGAAAGGCAAGAGGTTTTGGTAACAATTAGCTTTACCAGAACCCGTTTTTTTCGATTTTCCCAAGTAGCTATGGATCAAGAGCTAGAAACACAAGATATTGAGGGGGGATGAACATCCATAACTAACTATCTCCGCTACTATATTTTTCTGTGACCCCAGGGGCTATCATTGGTACCTTTCCAGGTCTTCGTGGTGAGCTTCAGCGTGCCGGCCCACTGCAGCATCTTGGTGCCCAGGTTGAAAGGCCGAACGAGTGCGGTGATGAAGGCGAGCAAGAGGCCCGACAGATTTGTGCCAAGCATTTGCCAAATGAAGCGAGCAAGGAATCCGAGGCAGGGCGGACGAAGTTCGGTGTTCAAGTCGGATAACTTTCAAAGATTGCAAAGTGTGAAGTTTTGGATTTTGGATGATGTTGGATGATTGGATTTGGGCCTTTTGAATAGCCATTTTTTCTTGGATGCTTAAAGGAATTCGACAAATGCTTTTTTGGATCTCTGAATTCGAAACCTGGGTTCCTGGGCACTTGAGGTTTTTGCGGACTGCATCTTCGACGTGTGCCATGGCGGTGGAGAACTAGATGCTGAACTGCGAGCAGATCTGATGGCAGCGTAGGGTCCCGACCCGTGGACCACAGCCCTTGGACTATGAGTAGGTGCTCGTCCTGGAGTACCAAATCTCCTGCATTTTGTACATGACATACTATTAATCTATTTGGTTCTGCTTGAGCACTTACCCAGACATGTGTGTGTCATCCGGTGCAGATCGGACTCCAATTGCAGCCGCATCTGTTTGCAAACCGTTCAAACTGCAAATTGCTCTGACCAGGCGTAGGCAGGGCCGCAGGCCCTAACACGTCAAAGAAACGTCTCAGTGCTTGTGAGCTGTGCCAGTTCCTGCGCCACCATTGCATCCTTCCGAAAGAAAAAGGTTTGGTTGTGCCAGCGTCATGCTGATCTTCAGAAGAATACAACTTCTGAGACATTGAAACATGACACTGATTGGTACGTGCACGCAAAGAAGCGAAACAAATGAGAACAACACAGATCAAGGTCTTTGATTTCTTTATATTTCTGTTGTTTGCTTTGTTTGCCTGATTTCACCGCAGAAACATTCCCTCAGTGTTTTTGTCAGCCTGGGCTCACTAGACAAACAAATTGTTCCACGAACGATTGCTTCGGCAAATTTTGACAATATGTCGAGGGCGTGGATGGCACAATTGCTGTTGATGCCTCTGTTTGTGATTTCGCAGGTCGTGGGTTTCCTTGCTGACACGAGTTTTGGTTTCGCAAAGTCCATGTCCAAACTGTTTGGATTAGAACAGTCAAATGCTCCTTGGTACACTGGATTGCTAATACCGTTTCCATACGTTTCCCACCCCAAAATATAGGTGAAACAAAGATCTGGAGACGTCGGCGCGGAGACTTAGAAGACGTAGAAAACTTGGGTCAGGTTTGGTTGTCATGTTCATCCACGCAGCCGAATTGAGACGTGCTTTGCATCTCCAGGAGACGTGCTCCAGTGTGACTTGCTCGAACAACCCTGGCGACCCTGGAAATGCGAGGCAAGGCAGCCCATCGCAGCTATCGCAGCATCATGCGGCATCTATCCTCATTGTTGTCTGAAATCCGCATGAATCTGGACATATCCCTCACGTGCAGCTTAAGAACTTAATTTGTTTAAGGATGTCTGTTTGACTTCGCTGTCAGGCTTGGCAATGACACAACTGCGTTGCTACATTTCCAAGTTCCTTGGCAAGGAATCAAGAAAATCAATGGCGATCATTTCAATTTCATGTAAAAAAAACTTTTGGAGAACATCAGTTTGGCAATGTGATTATTATGAACTACATTGGCGAGTGAATGCCCCAGGAACATGCGGAAATGGGAGAATTAAGTTGGGCGCAGAGCCTGGTAACATGTTGATTCCAACTGTGATTTGATCAGCAGCGCCATCAACTAGGTCGCCAGCACTACCACGACGACGCTTCCTGCATGCGTTGCCGAGATCAACACTGGCGATTGTAATGCCATGAACGCATGCAGGTGTTCACCCGATATCAACCCCCAGCCAATTGGAGATTTCCCTGACACACAAGGCACTTTGCAGTGCGGCGGCAAAAATTCTTGTCAAAAGCAAGCTGCATCAAATACCAACTTCTTCAAGATGAACACACCTAGCCCCTTGGAGTGCAGTGGACAAGATTCCTGTCAGAAGAATTTCAATGTGGAAAATATCGGGTCCATGTGCGTCACTGGGGACAATGCAGTCGGCCCCAGTTCACAAGCCGGGACCTACAAATTGGCAGATCCTGACGTCGCCACGGGGCGCGTCAATGATGTTTGCTGTGCGCGGGAAGTGGGTCAGAATCAACCTACCTGCAAAAGTCCAACGTTCGAGAATGTCGGCAGCTTCTTTTGCACCGGTGATGTTTCTTGTGACAACGTTCAAGCCACTCTTTCAGGCGAATCTTGGATGCAACAGTGGTTGCTGATGTTAGACTGTTAGAATCTGTTAGACCAACACGAGGGAAAGCAAATGACAAGCAAGTGACAGAATATACCTGGCGGCTAGCACCTTGGATATACGGGCGGACTGAAACTTAGCATGCCGACAGCCTCGGGCTCGCGGACCTCTAAAGAATGCCTCCCCGGGCCTACAATATATATTTGCACATGCCCATAAAACACCCTGTACTATAGTGCTGACTAATAGCATTGCGGCTCGAGCAAAAAGAAGCTTGCAGCCGCTAGCGTAACGGATTTTAGACATTTTAGTTTCCACTTTCAGGTTTATCAGTCTATTTGGCTATAACTTGATAACCCTTGCTGAAACCTGAAAATACAGGTTATCAGCCGTCTCTAAAGCCATGGAGAGACCAACTGGTGATGTTTCTGGAACGGGAGGTGCAATTGTCCCAGCAACGAGTTCGATAGTTACCACAACTGGAGCTCTGGCCACAAACCCGGCTGGAGTAAATCCCACGCCCATGACTGTAGATGAAGGAATCTTCCAACAACCAGTTCAGGCGTCTTTCCAGTTTGGAGGCAAACATTGATTTGTTTAGAAGTGAAGCTCAGGAAATGCACACCCAAATCATGAATCAAGTGGTACAGCATCTGCAACAAGATTACGAAAATTGTGGTATGTTGAGCAGACATGTTTCCATGAACTCGCCCAGCCACGTGCAGAAGCTGACAGCCGACATGAACAGATGGTATCGGAACTCACCGGATTTATGATGTCTCGCACTGTAGCTGAACAGGAGATTTTGAACTTGAGGAAAGAACGCGGTGAAGCAAACGCTAGACTGAAGAACGCCGCAAATTCTGTAGCACTGGAAGCTGAGCAAAGGGCAAACCAAAAGGTTTCTCATGTGACCAGTCAATACGAAAGCAGGCATTCTGAACTCAAGAAACCTAGAGGCTGATTGCAAAAAGATCGTAGATGAAACGGTTGAGTATGCAAGAAAAGGAATGGAGGAATTCAATTATGAGGAACAGGCAGTGATCAAGGAGATGAGGGAGGAGTGCAACAGGCAAGAAGAACAAGCCGCTGAACTCAACTTTCAACTCCAGGAATGGGTAGATGAACTCATGGAAAGGTTGAACAAGCAGAACACCCCGAACCTTAACATCGAGGAACTTGATGAAGGTCCAGGCGAGATCCAGTTGTAGATGTTTGCAACGCCAAAAGGTTCTGCAAGTGCGAAGGCTGGAGCAACACAACACCCATGCCAAGCACAGCAATGAGCAATCTAGCTGCTGATGCAAGGGAGAAGTTGCATAGTTTGTTCACTACTACCCCAGCAGAATCAGATGCTTCTCCACAACTTCCACCATTGCCAGTGCAGAGACCGCCACGTGAAAATGTGAATCAAGAACCTAGTGTGCGTAGCCCTACCATTGCAGCAAGCGAACCCGACAAACTTAAGACTGCAGACATAGGTGCTGTTCTTTCTGGACAACAGCTGTTGGATCTCATCACTAGATTGACATCAAAGGACGCAGATGGTGAAAAGCCCCGCACGAAAGAGGGAGAGACCATCAAGTTTAACGACATGCCTACCCCTGAGGCTTACCGCCATTCGCGTAACCATGTCAGGGACGAGGTGAAGTCGTGTTCAGACAAGCCCAACGAGGCTAGGATTTGGCTCAATGAAGTCTTCGACAACAAGACCTCGCGGGAGAAGTTGGAAGAGAAGCTGCAAGATCCGGGCAAATTCATCACTCTCGACACAAAATTGTCGGCAGCGTTAACTGGCTCAGCCAAAGGTGATCTAGCAACCAAAATTCACAATTTCAAAGATGGAAAGTCAAAGAATGGGATCCAAGTCAGAGGTAGGAGAGTCCTTTTGATGTTTGAAGATTATTTCAGGACGTCTGAGGACTTATTGGGAGTTGTCAGAACGGGAGAGTCAGTGGAGGATCTTAGAGGGTTTCTTAACCGTTGGGATGCCACCATTGCTGGTATGGAAGCTGCAC